GGATTCCTGAGATGAATTAAAATAGGCGTGGCATGGATAGCCCCAGTGGGATTGGAGGTATCTCAAACTATGGGATCAACCAGAAAAGAAGAGAGTCTGGAACCTGCATGGAATAGGCCCTGTCTGTAAAGGCTGCATAGTTTGGCCATCAACACTCACTATAGAAATTGAAGACTGAATATAGTGGCCTGAAAACTCTGGAGGAACACTATACATGGCTTCTATGTCCACAAATACAGAGAATGTCTTACCTGAGACCTCCAGTGGGACTTGGGGCTCTGAGAAGGACACCTTAATGGAGGGCTGTTAGTCTTCAGCAGCAAGTTTGAGTAGGTCAGTCAGTGATGAATCTGGTGATCACAACATCTCCCATGAGGGCAAGGAGTTAACGGATGGCCTACCTGCTCTCTGGTGGCTAGGACAGTCACTCTTCCAGTGGCCCTTGAGATTGTAATAGGGGCAAGGCCCCAGAGAAATGCCAGGGTTGAGTCACTGTCTTGCCCAATGTGCTTTTTTGTTGCACTTGAAGCATGGTCTAGGAGGGGCTCGGGAGGCTCCACCTTGTCTCTGGTTTACCTGTCTCAGAACTCTAAGTGTCACTGTTATTTTTCCTTTTGATTTTTATCTCTGTTAAAAACATGAAAAGCCATATTAAGAGGGTCTCCCCATGGGGTTTGAGAGCCAATTTAAGCCTTTTGTCTTGCGATCTGGCCCATGGTGGAAGGTATCTGTCTCCTCCACAGTCACAAGACAATTGGATTTTATCTTGGGTAGGTGTACAGCTTTAAGTCTTAAGGAGAGAAGGCAAAGAATCAATTAAGTATGCAGGAGTCAAATAATACAATCAACAGGGTATTTATGATTATAACTTTAGTAATGGCTTTCCATAAGGAGGATAAGGATAAAGTCCAGGGAATATTAGAAACTGACATGTCATTCATTTGTCATTACACACATTTAGGTTTTATAACTGTATAAGTATCTCTTATGCTGTTAGAATGTCTAATGCCATATGATTTTTGGAGGATGGCCTGTTTTATTAATTTTACTTTTTATTTAGGAGAGAGATCAGCTGCGGTGTCATTTAATGCCAGTTGAGTATTGTTAATTATGGCCCCAGTATACATCATAACCTTTTTTCTGGAAAAGATCTTGTGGATCCCAGCAAAAGGAATCCAAAAGAAATTTATAATTATCTCTTAATTTTAGTTGTTGAACATCCAGAAGATTGTAACAGTACAGTGCAGTAGAGGCAGTAAGCTTAACATAGAACATTAAATGGAACTACTATTTTTTATTAACCATGTGTGTTTTAATATTTGAGCACTGAAGAAATTTGTGACATTGTTTGGACTGCTCACTATTTAAGCATCTCTCAGTATAACATATAGATTACATAAATTTTTGTTTAAAAAATTATCATTTGAGTGGTGACCTTGTGTTGGTCTCACCTGAATCTCCTAGCTGGAGCACAAGAAAAAGGCAGACATCTGGATCTGAAAGAAAACACTTGTCATCATAAACAATCCCAATTATATATTTGAAGGCATGAATATGTCATCAGGTCAGCAACAATGAATTGTCTTAGTCATATGAACTTTAGTTGAGGTGTCTCACATAAGGCTATGGAGATTATTGGGGCCTCCAATTAACAAGCAAGAGCTGGTTAAAGTTACCAGGTGGTCACTTTCTTGTTTATCAGTTGAAGTCCTGTCCAATATTTCCTCTCCCCAAGGGATTTTGTTTAACCAATCTTAGCATCATTTTGACCAGCTGGCAACCTAGGTGGACGCATATTTTTAAATCTATAACCCAAATAAACCTTGATTAAATGATCTAAAAAGGTAAAAAAGGAGGAAAAATTGTTGAGTTCAAATAAAAAGAAACAGCTGTTTACAGAGCAGGCAAATAGACAACAGATATAGACTGACAATCATAAAATCATTGAACTCAAAATATATTTGGCCAATTTGAACTATAATAAATAGACTAGTGTGAACCTGTTTATAGATCAATTAATAGAGATCTCTTGAAATAAGAATACCAGAAAAGGAACCTAATTTATGGCTAATCTGAGATAGCTCAGAAAGGAAAAAAGGAATATGAATATTAGCTAATCCTTTGGGGCCAGCCTGTTTACAGAGCGGGAATAGAGATCGAGGCTGAGAAGGCTGTGGAGTAGATAGCCACCGAGCAGCCAACCATCCGACAGGCTTGTGTGGACAGTTACCCAATGATTGGCTATAACACTTGTCACCATGTGACAAGGTAACGCAGGCTGTTAGCAGGTCACCATGTGACCCACAGCAGCCTAGCTGCTGCCAGTAATACAGTGAGGGGGGCACAAGATGGCGGCTGGTCACCACTGTGACCCGCAGCTAGATAGCTGCTGCTGATCCCATGAGAAGCCACAAGGGGGCGACCATTGGCACTGAGACCCTGCCCAGGATGGGAGCGCCTTGCCAAGTGGCAGAGGGCCACAAGATGGCCGCTGTCCTCTATGCGAGCTGCAGCAAGATGGCTGCAGACAACCATGTGGCCTGCCAAGAAGGCTGGAATGCATGAGACCAGCGGAGAAAATGGCGATGCAGGGGAAGGGGACAAAGAACCCTCAGACAGAACAGATGGCTCTGGTGGGGGGGATTGAAAAGTTGGAGACTTCGGAGAGACGCTAAGCGAAGGATTAGAGGCCGCTGTGGCTGAAGAAGGGGGAGAGCATGGCGCCGGGGGCAAAGAAACCTCTGGCCGAGAAGGCTGTGGGTTTGGTATGTGAGATATAGGGGAGAAGCTGTACAGACGGGACGCATCATCTAGAGAGATCTGGTGGGGCAGAGCGAGCCAGAAGTATTTGGGCCATCATACAAGACAGAGAGAAAGACACATCCTTCAAGTGAAGAGGCCTAAAGATGACGGCTTTCTGCCAACTTGCCGCCATTGTGACAAAAGCATAAATAAAAATCAGCTTTTTGGTTTTTATAGCCTTTTAGAGGCCAAGAGCACCAAGATTATGAGCCAGGCACCCCCAAGGTGTGTTTTTTTGGGGACAGGAAGTGATCCCCATGACCGAATTATAAGTGAGCTGAGAGAACAACTTCGCTTCGGGACATAAGAGCTTTAGCTCTGTCCTAAGGAACATGGGAGCTGTGTCACACTTAACAAAGGAGGTCATCCATCACCTATTTTGAAAGTGTGACAGGGAAAGTCCAGACACCCATTCTCCTAGGCCTCGTGCAGTCAGTAAGGCCTAAGGAACGTGAAAACTGCTATCCCTGTTCTGGGCGGCAGGATGGCTTTGCTGTCACAACCTTGCTAAGGAACAGAAACAGAAAACCCCTGACAGTCAGCAGCTCACCCGTGTGGAGTGAAGACGGTCGTCGCTGCTGCATTCGGATTGGCAGCAGCAAGTACAGTCCTGGAGGAAGAAAAAGATGGTTCTTAGGCAGGGGGCTCAAACTGGGAGGGGCCCCAGCAGCCACTCACTCTGCTATCTGATTCACAACACTATCATGAAAGAGTTTTCTGCACAATAAAAGAGAGAATATAAAGTAAAAATAGCCTTTATTCCAAGAACATGGAGAGAAGTCCATGACCACTGGCGGCCTGGCTTTCTCTGGCCGGAATGTGGGGCATGGGATACATAACCTCCGACAAGGGGTGGCACCTAGGGCGGGCATGGATGAGGCACGGGGAACTGATTGGAATTTTCCTTGTGCACAAACAGGAAGGGGAGTTCCTGTCAAGGCCGAGGAAGAAGCAGGAAGTGGTAGGCATTCCCACTTTAGCCTTCCGCCACGTTAGACCACTGCCATAATTTACTAAGGGCAAGATCCTTTCAGTATCTAAAACTGGGAATGAAGTTGCTGGATGGGGTGGAAATTGTGTGCTTGACCTTGTCAGGAGCTGTCAGGCTATGGTCCAAAGAGATGGGAGCATCATTACTAAACAAAACTACTGTGGAAGTAGCTGGAGACATAGAGAGGTGAGAATGATAATCACCTTGGTGTCTTTTGCCTCCCAGAGTCCTCCCATTTGCCCAACTTATTCATTATACCTCATGGACAATTCTTCAAAGTGCACAGTAATAGGAAATCAACTTAGGGCCTTTGCATCCCTGATCCTTTTTACAGTTTTTTTATTTGGCAGACAAGATCTCTGTAAGGTGCCCAGGTAACTTGAACTTCCAATCCTGTTAGTCCTCCTGCTTCAGCCTCCGAGACTATTGTAGGGTTATAGGAGAGCAGCAGCACACCTGCTTCAGTACTGCAGTTTTTGTCTGTGCAGTGCTGTGGACTGAACCCTTAGCCCCGTGCATGCCACATGGTGCTATCCCCTGAGCCACAGCCACAGCCTTCCTAATGCTGCCTCTCCCCCGTGTTAGTACAGTGATGCCTGGTGGGTCTTGCTTTCTCTTTGCTCCCTGTGATGAACCAAGGTTTGGGTTTTTTCCTAATGTTGGTGGCACTGGGGATGGAGCCTAGGGCTGCGTGTGAGCTAGGAAGTATTGTGTCCCTGAGCCAGATGCCAGCCCCGCCCGAGTTCCCCAACTCTTGGGGTGCATAGCCTGGCCTCCCTGTCAGTGCAGAAAGAGGCATGATCAGCATTTGAAATGGCCATCTCAACAAGGCTGGGGACTCTTTTTGTTAGGTGATTTACTTGCAAAACAGTTTGTTCTTTGCTGTTGAAGATGTTCAAGAAAAGGAGAGGGCTGGGATTATAGCTCAGTTGCATAGTGCCTGCCTGGCAAACACAAAGTCCTGAATTCCATTCCTGTTACAATAAATAAATAGATAGATAGACAGATGATAGGAAAAGAGAATTGGTCAATTGCTCCTGTAATCCCAGCACTCGAGGCATCACTGGGAGTTCGAGGCCAGCCTGGGCTACAAAGTGAGTTTAAGGCCAGCCTAAACTGCATAGTGAGACCCTGCCTCAAAAAGAAAATAAAAAGAAAAGTTATATTCTTTTCCTTTTTCAAAAACTTTTTTTTTATTTTGACACAGGCAATTTTATATGATGACAAAGGAGCTTGCTTGGAAAGTCTATTTCTGAAATGTCTTGAGGTATGTCAATGTGTTCATCTTGTTTTTATGTTATTATTTAAAAGTCTCTAAATATATTTCCTTAATGTTGTTAAGAGTGTTGTCTTGGTACTGATACTAATAATTATAACTTTCTTTTTTTGAGATACTGGGGATTAAAACTGAACATAGGTCCTCCACACTGAAAGCTACATCCCCAGATCTTTTTTATTTTTTTGTTTTTGAGACAGGGTTTTGCTATGTAGCTTAGGCTGCCCTTGAATTCACAGTGATCCTCCTGTCTCAACTTCCTGGGTACTAGGATCACAAGTATATGCTATCATGCCTGACAACAGGGTCTTGCTGAATACTAAGTTGCCCAGGCTAGGCTTGAACTTTCAGTTCTCCTGCGTCAGATTCCCAGAGTGCTGGGATTATTGGTATGTACCACCACTCCTCACATAACTGGGATTCGGTGGGCTTCTTTTTTTTTTTTTTGGTAGTTTGGGGATCGAACTAATGACAACTTGCAAAGCAGGCTCTTACGTTGCTGAGCTAAATCTCCAGCCCCTCCATGGGCTCTTATTGTAACAGGATTGCAGCACATAAAGGTTTGGTAAATTGCCTCCATTCGTGTGGTTGTGCTGGGAGCTCTGGGATTTTCCCCCCAGAAATGACTTACTTGAGGTACCAGGGATTGAACCTAGAGCCTTGCATTAAGCTGTAGCCCCAGCCCATTTTTATTTTTCATTTTGAGACAAGGTCTCACTGAGTTGCTAAGTTGCCCGGACTAAGTTACAGTTTGTCACCTTTGTGCCTTAGCCACTCATTCTGTGGCATGAGTTTTTTGGTTTTGCCTTTTTGTTTGTTTTATTTTTTTAACAAGAGTGAATCCTACACTGGCCTTGAACTCCAGGGCTCAAGTGGTCCTTTCCAAGCCCCCTGAGTGGCCTTGAGACTCCAGCTGCAGACCAGCATGCCTAGCTCATGACTCTATAGGCAGAGATCCATGTTGGAAAACACTTTCTGGAATTACTTTTGTTCAAATCGTTTCTTAGATATTTACTATTTCCCCCCTTGTTGCAAAAAAGAAAGGGAAGGAGAGAAGTAAGGCCTGTAAGTAGTGAAATGAAGAAGGGTGTTAAAGTTGGCTATTTTGGGTTCATCCCAGTACCTTCTAGCTAGCTTATCTTCTCCGCATCTAACTTCTCAACTGTAAAATATAGGTCTAGACAGACTTTATGAGGTTGATCTGAAGATTGCAAATAACTTTTTTTTTCCCTTAACTTAACTTCAGAATTGCAAATAACGTAATGTGAAGTACCTGGAAGTACTGCATATTATATTAAATTTGTTCTAAATACATTGTACACGTTCTCATCTTCACTGTGTTGTATTTAGCCATGGTATTTAGTTCATCTTGAAACTTCGTATGACGTGGATACTGGTTATACTTCTCTATGAGGAGGTCTAAATCAGGCTATATTCTAGTAGATGCTTAATTGGTGCTAGCTACTATTATTATTTCATCTTAAGTCATTTCATTGTGTAAGATTTTATGCTTACAGAGATTTTTATATTTTCAAACTAGGTTGATAATATTTTTCTGCCTCAGTAAACAATGGTGGTGTCAAGTGCTGTACTTGTCCATTTAAGTGATTAAAAATGGTTTCTTTGAATGTGGTTATTTAACCTACTATAATTTCTAATACCTTAAATGTATGATGAATGTAAATATGTAGTTCATATTCATTTATAAATATATATTTGATAACCATTAGCTCTGATTTGAAAAATGCCATCTCAACCTCTGGCTCCCAAGTGAATTTCCTGAGCAGAGCATGGTTTGCTCTTGTCCTGTATCCCTGGCATGTAGCAAGCTAACTTTTAAAATTCTATGATCCTTTTCTGTACTTGTTGATAGTTAACTAGTGTAGCCTAATAAATTATTGAACAATGTAGTTACTGATTCATTAACATTTATGTATTAATATCTGTCTCACTCAACATTATTGGGCTTCGTGCACATACAGAGAATAAAGAAGTTGGGTCTGTATGACATTAGTGTGTATGTATGCATATGTGTGTGTGTGTGTGTGTGTATGTGTATTCTGCAGCGCTGGGATCAAACCCATGTTCTTGCACATACTAGCCCATTAACATTTATTTTTAAAATTTAGGTGAAACCTGGAGATGACTTAGAAAGTGATCGATACTTAATCACTGTTGAGGAGGTAAAGGTTGCTGGAAGCCTAGCTGCTAAGCAGGAAGTCGTTAGAGAAGCGCCACCTTGGAGTTCTAGGAGTTTTGCTGGCCGTTTCCGGGGGTGTCAGCCCCCTGGCTTAAAGCGGAAATATACTGTGAGTCATAAAAGTAGTAATAAAGTTTGCAATTACCGTATCCTAATTCAAATGATTTTTTACTCACACAGAAAGAAAATAAATCTGTTAAAAAAAATCTTTCTAACAAATGAATGTTTGTAGGGTTTTTTTGTTTTGTTTTGTTTTTGATACAGGGTCTCTCTATGCAGTTCAGGCTGGCCTTGAGCTCACTTTGTATCCCAGGCTGGTCTCCAACTCACAACAGTCCTCCTGCCTCAGCCTCCCAAATGCTGGGATTACAGGTGTGAGCCATTCCACCTGGTTTGTTTTTGTTTTTGTTTGAGACAAGGTCTCACTAGAGTTCAGGCTGGTTTTGAACTCACTGTGTAGCCCAGGCTGGCTTCCCTCAGCCTCCTGAGTGCTGGGATTACAGCCATGTGCCATCACAACCTGCAGAAAGTAGTTTAATTTAGCAAATATGTTGCTACTTTTTGGCCATCTTATTCCATGGATGCTTTATAGACAGTAGTGTAGCTAACAATTGTTTTAATATTTTTAGGGTTTTCAAGGACCACGTCAAGTGCCAAAGAAAATGGTTGTTACGGAAAATGGAGACTGGCCTGCGTCCTTTGAGGCTGGCGCTACTTTGTTTTCTCCATCCTGCAGCAGCCTGCCTCTGTTTCCTACTGTGGGCAGGAAGGAAATGAGTAACATGCAGACAGTCCCCCACAGCGCCATCGCTGCCCAGGCTGGAGCGAGCCAGGGCCCCTGCCCTTCCACTTCCTTGGAACCGAGCCCCAGAGTGCCATGGGAAGCAGGCACCTCTCTGGGCTCTGGACGGCGGTGTGAAGACGCTGTGCTGGCCACAGAGCCCAGCAGACGACACAGCCCAGCGTCGCACTGCCCTGGAGCCCCACAGCAGCATGTCCGAAGCCAAGCACAGATCTTAGCTCTCCTGAAGTCCACACCAACAACCATACCTGAGCTTCGGGATGCTGAGCCGGTGGGACACCCAGGGCAGCTATGGACTCCAGCTGTGTGCGGAGCTGGCCTGGAAGGGCACACTGAGGCACTGGGCGCAGAGCGGCCCCACAGCCCGAGGCAGCTGGAGACTGCTGCAGCCAGCCGGAGCCGCTGGGCAGTGTATTTATCCCCGCAAGACTCCGAGGCAGCTTCTGCCAGTGGTGCCGGTGGTGGGGAGAGGCAGGCGGCAGAGCAGGAAAATGACGCATGTTTGAATCTCGAAGACCTTTTGGAACAGAAAAGAATGCAGGCCTTTGGAACACATGCTGAAATTGGCAAGAAGCATCGTGAAGACGAGCTGGGGGACAGGAGCGCGAGCTGGCATCAGGCTCCCAAAAAAGAACCTTTGTTAGGCGGCAGTGCACTGGTATGCTGCAGCAGTGCAGGGCAGGGTGGGCTGCTTGCAGAAACCACTGTTGGTGGAAATGACAAAGTACCTTTCAGTGGACAGGACCAGGGGTGCATGGGTGGCCCCCCAGGACAGGACCTTCACTGCGCAGCACAGTCTCCTACAGCCTCGGGATGTCAGGTGTCTTCTCTGAGTCAGGATTCTAACACCCTGGACGACGATGTGGAACCAGTTTCTGAAAATGGCACTGCCAATGAGAGACAGGGTGGTGTCCTGGGATCCGGAGGGAATGGGACACAGCCGTTTTTGGAGGTAACCTTTAACCTGAGCAATTTTGAGACAAGTGACTCGGAGGAGGAATCACAGGAAAGCAGTGGCCTTTCCCAGGGTGCAGGGACCTGGGCAAAGGGCAGTTCCTATGTTCAAAAGCCACATGAGGGTTTAGGCTGTCAAGAAATTAGCAGTGAACGTTTGCCATGCTTACCCTCTGTGGGTCACGGGTGGACAGAGAAATGTTCTGTTAAAGAGACGCTGTCGCAGTTTTGTGATAAAACTTGTATAGGTATTGACCCAGGACCTTGTGAAGATGGGAACGCTGGAGAAGAGGACGATAGCGACCTGGCCAGCAGTTCCAGCCCTTCGGTGGCAGGGTGTGCTGGTGAATCTGTGGAGGACGTGGAGGACACTGACAGGTCTTGCCAGACCATCACACGTCCCTCTGATTTTGCCTCACTCTCAAATAAATCTAAAGGAACAGGTGCAGATTTACATACTCCTGACCTTTTAGACATAGCTACTAACCAGGCTTCTAAAAACAATGACTTACTTTCCCATCAACAACCTTGGCCTTTCGTTTTGGGAAGTGTCTTAGATAACGATGCCAAGCAGGTTTCCTCGCCCATTTCTGGCCATGACAGCAGTGTCCGGACGTTTGATGGTCTTCGGGGTCAGTCAAAACATGCTGCACTTGGTGAGTCCCATTCCCAGGCTTGCAGCTCTTTGCTTGCCCTTTGGGAAGCAAAGCAGCCTCTTTACCAAGACACTGAAGTGTGTATTCCTGAATGCGACGACTCGAGGAGTTCTCGTGTACCCCGTGACTGTGGCCATATTGAAGTGGAACCTGCCAGAAACAGCAGCTCGTCCTGGAGTAATCCTGGCGACTCGTTGGAGCTCTCTGGAGTAGTCAGTCACATTTCCCCTTTGAAGTCTCTGTCTGCACACAGCACTGCTTTAGAAATCGTGGAAATGCTGCCAAGGCAGGATGCGGCCTTCACACCGCCAGGAACACTGCAGGCAGAAGAGCCAGAGAGCCAAGCTGAAGGTCAGGGTGACGCAGCTTCGGGATTTTCTCTTCAAAGCTCGAGGCCGGGAAGAGAATTACATGGCTACCAATTTAAAGGCTCCAGGGTTTAACAGTAAGGCGTGGCGGTGCATTCGTGCATGGGGTCCCTGCACAGTTGAGGCAAAAGCTGTTTCTAGAGTCCGCTGTGGAAGGAGGTGGCCCTAGACAGCAGCACATGTTTTTCCTCAGCCCTATGGTGTCTACTGGCCACCTTTCCGTTGTCACAGCAATATCACTGCTAGGGAAAAGCTCCTTCCAGATCCGGGATTCCCGTGTCCCTGGCTAAAAGCCTTGCTGTTCTATAAGTAACACTGAGGATCTTCACCTAGCCATGCATCATGTTTTCTTTTCCTGTCTGCTACTCCTTGGTCCAGGTTCTGTTTCTTTTTTGGAGGTACTGGGGATCGAACTCATGACCTCACACTTGCCAGGCAGGTGCTTAAGCCACTGAGTTAAATCCCCAGCCCCAGGTTCTGTTTCATTTTTGTTTTTACCATACAGGTCATGGGTCCCTGGGCCTTTTCACTAAGCCATGTCTCCAGCCCTTTTTGTTACTATTTTTTCTTTTTAGAGACAGAGCATTGCTAAATTACCAAGTTACTCAGACAGACTCAAGCTTGTGATCCTCCTGCCTCAGCCTCCCCAAGTGATAGGATTATGGACATGTGCTATGGGCTTGTACCACCACATCTAAACCTGTTGGGCTTTTTAATGGGTGTTCATATTTTTACTTTTGATTTGTTAGTTTATCTATCACAGTTATTAACCCCCTATATTTGTTGCATATACTTTCAGTACATCATTAGCTTTTTGATTTTGCTTATGCTATATGGCTAACAGCGTTATCTTTTGAAAAATGTAATAGTAAATACTTGTACATCTGAATACTATATGATAATCTCAAAAAAAAGCTAAAAGCCTAATTTGAGTATCTCAAATGATTCCTGAATATAAATAAATCCTATACTTACTAAAGTGATTCTTTGAAATGTTAAGTTTGATAATGTTAATAATTTAAGTTTTTTTTTTTTTTTTTTTTGATACTGCGGCTCAAACTGATTATCTCATGCTTGCCAGGCAGGCGCTTATGCCGCTGAGCTAAACCTCCAGCCCCCTAGTAAAAATCTTTAATGAAAACTAAATATGGATAGATCTGTAGTACTATCTGAGTTTCTAAAATTTTAATGTGACAATTTAGAAATTATAGAATTTAGTTCTGGGGAATCTACTGTGTTAGCAGATTGGAAGACAATGCAGTTAACTCATTTTTTGCTATCACCGTGTGAAGTCACAAGGAACGGCAAGCTCTACTAGTTACGCAGTGTGTCTCCTGTGGGGAGTGTGGGGTGGGTTCCCTCTGGCCTCTGCTCAGAACGTTTTGTTGCCTCATCAGTACATAACCTTATTGTACGTGTTTCTGTTGAAGAATGCCTTCCTTAAACCCGGTGTGGTGGTGCACCTGTAATCCTAGCACTTGGGGGCTGAGGAGGGAGAATCCCTGAATATATATATATATATATATATATATATATATATAATTTTTTTTTTTTTTTTTTTGAGATGGTCTTGCTCTGTAATTTAGGCTGCCCTTGAGCTTACTATGCAGCCCAGCCTGGCCTTGAACTTGTGGCAATTCACCTGCCTCAGCCTCCAGAGTGTCGGAATAACAGGTGTACGAAACCATGCCTGGCTAGACAGCACTACTCTTGGAGAGTTTTTTGTTGTTGTTGGTACTGGGGATTGAACTCACGACATCACATTTGATAGGCAGGCACTTACACCACTGAGCTAAATCCCTGGCCCCTGGAGAACATTTTTTAAGTGACAAGTTGGTTAGCTTTACTTATAAATAACAAAATAACATGAAAAGCACAAAACTGTAAAGAACGGCACAAAGAAGACACAAAAGCCAAGGGTTGGTGGTGGAAGCCAGGCTAGCCGAGCATTGCCGTATTGGGGCTGGGCCCTGGGAGCTTGGTCTCCACAGACACCGACCTCGACAGCTGCACTGGGGTGCGGTGTGATCCTGGTGGTGTGGGAGAACCGCAAGGGCAAACCCGGCCCGCGTGATTTAGGGAGACCACGCGTTCCAGCAGAAGATGTGAGAACTGCGAATAGCTCCGTGTCAGGGCCTTGGCTTCCCTCGTGGGTACGCGCCTTGTCAGGCGCATGCGCACTCTCCCAGTAGTGACTTAAGGGTCACAAGTAAACTGCCGGGGCGTGGGAGAACTCCTGCGTGATCAGATGGGCTGTTTGCTGATCTATTTCTCCATAAAGGATTAAGTTGCTTGTCTTGAGTCAACTGGAGACAGTTGACTCTCCTGGAATATAATAAATAATTTCATAGAATTTAATACAAAGTCAGAGAAGAATCACCACTTTGGAATGTAGGAAGGTATCTTAAAAACTAGCTTTTGAAAGTTTTTCTGACATGATTGAATATTGCTTATAAATGTCAACTTAGAATTTTATTTTGGAGTGAAGACAGTAAAGGAAAAAAATCAACTTGCATCAAGTACTTTTTCAAAATTCTAGAAATAGCATCGTTTCAATTTTATTTGTTATTGTTACTGTTTTTTTGAGTCAGGGTCTCCCTATGCAATTCAGGCTGGCCTTGGGCTCTCTTTGTAGCCCAGGCTGGTCTCGAACTCGCAATGATCCTGCTGCCTCAGCCTCCTGAGGGATTACAGGAATGTGCCACCACGCCCAGCTTCCATTTATTATCTATTCCAAAATATAACAGGAAAATAGTGCCTCCAAAACAGGTGTCTAAAATTGAATTTCACACCAGATAGACGTGAGTTTTAAAATAATCATCACTTTAAAGTTAGCCTGTGACTCTAGCAGAAATACAGAGTATTGAACATATACTGTTAAGAATTGCTTTTCAGTGCTGGTCATTGAACCCAGTGACTGCTGCGCACTGGGCAAGCGTGTGCTGCAGTGGCTGCAGACAGTTCTGGTATGGAATGGGTGTCCCCTAGGGTAGCCAGGCCTGCAGCTGCCAGCCTGTGTGCCCCGCCCACAGCTACTCTTGCCTGAACACTTTCAGCCTTCTTAGTTCTATCTCTGCCTCCATTTCCATTTCTCTTCCTCCTGAGCGAGCTTGCTTTCTTTCTTTTCTTTCTTTCTGTCTGTCTGTCTGTCTGTCTCTCTCTCTCTGTCTCTCTCTCTCTCTGCCTGGACAGGGTCTCCTTGTGTTGTTCAAGCTGGCATTGACCTTGCTGTGTACCTCAGGCTGGCCTTCTGTGAGCTGAGATTATGGTGTTGGCCACCATGGTTTAAGGAAGGTATCTTTGAACAGAAGTACACTTGAAATAAGGTCATGTACTGATGGAGAGGTTGGAGGCTGGCTGTTACTTGCCGTGAGACCTTTCCTATAGGACTCCTTTCAAGTGTGCAACCATTCTGTGTGATGTGATGTCCTCCTACCTCAGCCTCCCGAGTGCTAGAGTTTAGAGTTCCATCATGCCCATGTCTTAGTATTTTTGAATCCTTAAATATCCACCACCGAAATCAAACAATTTTCAAGACTTTGTTTTATTTTAAAACTTAAGTTATAGTTCTGGTATCACCATTCTTAGAAATAAGTTTAAAACATTGTTATAGCACTGTACATATGATGAATAAGATTGTTTCATTTTCTCCATTACAGCTAGGAAACCGTGTATTAGGATACCATTTATTCCTCACCTGAAGCAGGGTTCTCAACAGGTACTTATGCACTTTCTATGATAGCTTATCTTGATATGAACACACTGTAATTTGTAATAGTATTGTAATGTGGAAGGTCCCAAGCTGTCTTGGTGTGTGACTTCCTCTTAGTAATTTTTCCACCCTCTTCCTTATCCAGCAATACACCTGACAGTTCTATTTAGCCGGTAGTGAGTGGCACTAAACAGTGTCTGGTCACTAGTAATAGTTTCTGTTGACTAATTGACAGAAAGGCCCCACCGTTTAGCCCAGGTCGGCCTTGAGTTCACAGTATTGCTTTGGCCTCCCAAGTGCTAAGATTGCAGCATTTTGATTTTAAATAAACCCCAGAACCAGTGTGGTGTGTGTCAGTGCTGTGCATGCACAGTGTCTCAGACCCTGCAGACAGTGAGACGGTTTTGTCTTGTCTCCTGTCCCACGCCACTGTTCTCAGACTTGCTCTCTGTCACAGCAATTTCTGAAAGCCCATTGTTCAGGCGTAATGTAGTGGAAAGGATGCTGGAGAGCGGGTGCTGGCCTTCAGCCGCCTTGGGGTAGCTCCTTGTGTGTCCAGCAGGTGGCCAAAGATGCCGTCTGGGGAGCCCCGCTTTAGAAATTGGTTCCATTGAGGTATAGTGATGGGGTTAAGTCCTTTCCTCTTAGTGTCACTTTGTGTCATCTTATATTTCTAAGACTTCTTCCTGAACATGCCTTATGAATGTTACTACGCCATCTCATGGATAGCCTATGAACAGAAAGTTATGTATTTATAAATGATTATTGTCTTTAGTTTACTTTATATTAATATTCTGTTTCTAAGATACTAGAAGACAATGAAGTTGAACCAAGTAACCCTCTTCAGACTCCACAGGTGAGTTACTCTATTTGTATAGCAGAGATGAGGTATATTTTAAGTTTGTGTTATGTATTGTGTTTTCAAGTTCATTTGCAGTGATTACTCTTTATTCATTTAGATGCACCTGGTGTCTTTGGTGTAAATGTTTTGCATGATCAATAGGATTTGATGAACATATCCTGTATTATGAAGTTAGTTTTGCAAATTTGCAAGCATGATTAAATCTACAAATTGTCATTGATAATTGCACATGCAGCTCTATAACCTAAAACAGTCCATCAAGGCAAATGTGTTTATGTTCTGGTGACTTGGCAGTTTCCAGCCGTATGTCACCAGGTTGGATGGATACAGTCTTCAACAGCTACCAGCTGAATAATTTAGCTTACATTCTTATAGTTCTTTCTTTTTTTTCCTTTTCACCTGAAAAAATAGGATTTTGACTAAATCAAGAGGAATGCAAATTTGAATCCAGGATGGGTGACTTAGTGAAATACTGCAAGCTTGTCTTAAAAAAGAAAAATAAAAGTGTGGATATGAAGCTCTGTGACCCTGCGTTTAGTCTCCTCAGTACCACAAAAAAAAAGGAATTTTGACTTTTTTTTTGTCTTTTTTTCATTTTTATCGGTACCAGGGATCGAACTCACGACTGCCTGCTTGCAAGGCAGGCGCTTATGCCACTGAGCTAAATCCTCAGCCCCTGGAATTTTGACTTTTGAAGGATATTATAAAATATGAACTGCAAGTGAACACTTTTTTCTACAAAATAAGTTGCCATTTAAAATAAATGTACCACATTTCCAAAAATCACAACAATAAAAAATGTTCTTCCACAGTAAAAGTTATTGAAATCTGTTTTGCTTTTTGTTTCTTTTTTTTTTTTTTTTTTTTTTTTGCCTTTTTGAGACAAGGTCTTGCTATGTAGTTCAGGCCATCCTTTAGTTCACTTTGTAGCCCAGGCTGTCCTTGAACCCACAATGATCCTTCTGCCTCAGCCTCCCAAGTCCTGGGGTTATAGGCATGCACCACCATACTAGTTTATAGTTTATAGTTTTTCCTCATTTAATATCTCATTAGTTTAATTTTTTTGTTTGTTTTTGAGGTGTCGTCTCACTGTGTAACCCAGGCTACCTCAAACTCAAAGCACAGCAATCCTGCTTCTTCAGCTTCCTGAGTGCTGGGATCACAGGCATGTGCTACCACATCCAGCAAAATTATTTACAACTAATGTGTAAAAGCATAAAAAGTATACATATTAATGGAATCAAACCAATTTTTAAATAAAATTATTTACATTGATTGTACTAAGATTTGGTGGGTGATTTATTTTATATTCAATAATTTTTTTTCTAGTGCTAAAAGATTCAATTAAAAATTTAGCATTTAAGCCAGGCAAAGTGGTACATACCTATAATCCTCCCATTTTGGGTGGCTGAGTCAGGAGGATTACCAATTTGAGCCTTGCCTGGGAAATTTAGTGACTTAGCCCGACTGTTTCAAAATTAAATGAAAACATTTTAAAGGCCTGGGAGCACCAGAGCAAAATCCTTGAGATCAGTCCCCACTACTAGAAAATGGTTTTTAGCTTCTGAATTTTCTAAATGGTGAGATTTAAAATTAACTCTCTTGGTATTTTCTCTGCTGCACCACTTTTTTTTTGGCCAGGGACAGCTTATATCTGTATGTGTAGAATGAAGCCAGAGAGGATGGGCATTGGTATTTTCAAAGAACAGACTTACCACCAACTTATGCAAATATTTCCCCTATTAAAATCATGAGTTACCTGCAGGACTCTTGTAGTAAGCTCACTAGATAACCAGGTAACTGACTGATACTTTAGTTATTTTCCTTGGGAAGGAAAGGAGAGACTTCTTTTAAAGCTATTATTCCCAAAAAACAAATAAAAACTTGTGATTCTAAGGTAAAATTTGTGAAGAATATTGACTTCTCTGTCTCTCTCTCTCTGTCTCTGTGTCTGTCTCTGTCTCCATGTGTTTATTTCATACAGGTATTAGAGTTTTCCTGGTTAGGTTAGGGAGTGTAATAGGTTAACCTGTTTTATGAGTAAGAGAAACACATCGTTTCTAGACTCCTTTTTTGATCTTTAGGTCTCTGTACTCACAGTAATCTTGTACTGCAGCATGCATAGGACGCCTCCATACATAAATTACGTTAGGTGTTAGACACAAAGTTGTATGAATACCAGGGATGTTCTGTGGCAAGCCAACCTTTTTGTTTGTTTCCAACGCTGAGGATTGAACTCAAGACCTTCACACTGAGGTGTATCTTCAGCCCTTTTTAAATGTTTTCTTTTATACAGTGGGTACTAAGTTGCCCAGCCTGGGTCCTCCTGCTTCAGACTCCCAGAGTGCTGGGAAAACAGGTGTGACAGAACCTCAGAGCCTTTTGTGCATAGTCTACTCCGTCACTGGTACTTCAGCCTGGATATGTGGAATTCTGCATTGCCTGACCTCTAGGCAGTCCAGCCAAGTGGCAAAGCCCACAGCATAGAAATGGTTACAGTCTCAATGGTGTCTCTGGCCCTGAGCCCAGCACCCCTGGTCCATGCAGCACCTGGAGACAGGCATCTGATACTCCCCATTGAGCAGAGCAGACAGGTACAGCTCTTTAATAGCTAAGACTTGCATTCATTGACACATGCTTTTAAATTCAGAAGAATATTTTCAACAGAATTCCTATGTGTAAAGGACATTAGATTTTTCAAATGTGACTCAGAATCACCATTCTTGAATAAGATAAAGCCAGGGATGGTGGTGCACACTTGTAATCCCAGTAAACAGAGGCCGAGACAGGAAGATTGCCATGAGTTCGAGGTTACCCTGGTCTATGTAGTAAGTTCAAGGCCAGTCTGGATTAATAGCAAAATCCTGTCTGAAAAAAACAACAGGCCGAGGATTTAGCTCAGCGGCATAAGTGGCTGCCTTGGAAGCGAGAGGTCTTGAGTTTGATCCCCAGTACCAAAAAAAAAAAAAGAAATTGTTCACCAAAGTTTTAAAAGGCTGGGGATTTAGTTCAGTGGCATAAGTGCCTGCCTGGCAAGCACTAGGTTGTGAGTTCAATTCCCACTACCAAAAAAAAAAAAAAGATTACTTATTTCCAGCGTCAGTTCTGTGTCAGTGACTGACACTGTTACACAAATGTACTGTATGTTATACAAAGCTGAATTATGTATTGTTTTCTGTCCACACAGTGGAAATGTGTATGTCAGTGTATACTTACACAGTTCTTATTTTTCATAATTTGCCTTCAGCCTGTTGAGTTTCAAGGCCATCAAGTGACAGGCTCAGCTCGCAGCAGCCTGATACTCAGAGGCCCCAGCTCACAGCCACAGTGGGGTCGGTTTCTGAGCAGCACTAGCAAAGGAGCTCCCTTGGCTGACGTGCGTGTGCTGCTGCCAGAGCTTGGAGGCATGCGGGTGCAGACCAAGCCCTCACAGGTAAAGTAGTTTTCAGAGTTGCATTTTGTGAACTCACTTCCTCTGTATCAGCAGTAAATTCTATAGAACCTACAGTTACAATTTCATGCAAAAGGAATGCAGTAGTAAATTGATAAGAAGCATAGTATCTCAACTCAGATCATATTAAAACAAGAATATTGTATTGGCATTTTGAGTTTGTTGGCATGTGGATGATCAGAACAGTCCTTGCAGCCTGCCTTCAGAACGTTACATAAGCTTAGGGCTTCCAGATTCTCAGCTTTTTATGATTTTTGGGCTACGGCAGTTGGCCTCATAGAGGCTTCCCTGTAGTGGGTCCTCAGTTTGATCTCCTCCATGGTGCTAAATATGGATCATTTCTCCAATCTGTTATTGCTACACTATAATTCATGGTTATTGTTTCTTAGTTTCTTTCTGTTTTAAAAATTTATTAAAAAATTTTTTTGAGAGAGGGTCTTGCTATGCAGTTCAGGCTGGCCTTGAACTCACCAAGTAGCCCAGGCTGGCCCCCAAACTATAGCAGTCCTCTTACCTCAGCCTCCTAAATGCTGGGATTATGGTATGCACCTATTGTTTCTTAGTTTCATCACAAATGGAGTTTCTGTTTCTTATTTCCTGTGTTTCCTTAGAGGACAGTACATTAGACTATTCTGCATTGCAGAGGAATGTCCATTTGCTGTATTTCTCATTTTTCACATCGGTTAATTGTGACCCCAGTTGGATGTCTAGTCGGTTTTCATCCTGTAGGTCATCCTGGGCCTCCAGCGTAGGTGAGGTTGCGTGATGCCGGGTGTCCTCCTGCAGATGATAGGTGCCACTTTGACAGGGGACCATGCCTGCATTCCCACACTGGGCAGACGGAGGGGTGAGGATCGCCAGTTTCCAAGCCAGCCTGGGTGACCCCATTTCAAAAACTTGAACCAAAAAACGAAGCAAAACATTTAGCTGAAAGTGTGTTCCGCTGTGTACCCATCGCCTGTCCCAGACACCTAGGCCGCCCCTATGGGCATCGTGATAGCACTGCGGTGATCCGAGTGCACCATGGCAGCTTCGGTCCTGCTGTCTGTACTCCCAGGCGTGGCCAGCGGGGCCATACGATAGACTGTTTGTTTTTGTCTTGGTACTGGGGTTGAACCTGGAGCCTTTTTCTGTGCCTTCTTGCTGTCACTAAGTTGCCCAGGCTGGAAGCAAATTGCCCAGCATACTGGAGAGCAGGTGTGCACCTCCGCATTCAGCTTAGTGTCTTTCCAGCCCTGTGTTCCAATGTGTTTGCCACTTCCCTCCTGTAGTTTTTTAGTTTCCAGTTTTTGCCCTCCTATGTGTGGATATCCAGTGTATTCACACTACTCCTGAAAGAGGCTTTTCTGAGACCAGAGGAGTGGGTGTGGTGGACAAGGGGGGCAGGGCTGCGGGTTCTGGGATAGAGTGAGGGGAGGGCAAGCGGCAGGTCTGCCCAGGTCCCTGGAGTGGCTGCTGAGCAGGGAGCACCATGCGTGCGCTCAGCTCCCTCCCTAGAGCAGGGGGAGTAAGGCAGCCCTGTGCAGGCCCCACCAGGGCTGAGCAGTAAACAAGCGGAGCCTGGAGTCCGGATGGAGGAGGAAGGAAGCCTTTGTGTCCCCAGATTAGGTTTCTGGAGGAGGCAAAGATGGATCTAGTTGCGCGCGTTTGTCTGTTTAGATTACCTAGCGAAATACCTCCACTTGGGTGGCTGCAACAGCAGAAAAGTGTCTACTTCCAAAAGCGTCAGCCTTCCCACCAGGCTTTGGTTGTGGGGTCGGGGGAGGGCACCCTTTCGTTCCTGTGTCAAGACAGGCAGTGAGGTCCAGGCCCATGTTCAGCCTGCAGTGCGGCCCAGGCCCGCCGCAACTTAGTTCTCACTCACATGAAGACAGAAACACATCCCATTTCGAGTGGCCACAAGGAGGGCAGTAGTGACTTTGGCAAGAGCAGTTCGAGTGAACAGTAAGGGTAGAAACCAGGTTAGTGAGAAAGTGAGGCTGTAAGAAAACAGTGCACCCTGAGACCATAAAGTGAAGTGAAGTCATCAGACACGTGGTCTTCCATATCACATGGCTTCTCTTATGAGAAACCCGAAGTATAAATGAAAAGTAAAATAAAGGATGGATAATAGGAAGCAAGAGACAGGTCATCTGTGAAACGGCAGGGACCAAGAGATGGAGAGAAGGGAAAGGGGAGGAAAAGAGGATGGTGAAAGAACGAGCATGCCTTATGTACCCATCCTCCTCCTGAATGGGACCGTCATAGCCTGCAAACCTGGACTGATAAAAGGAAGTATTAGCTGGGCGGGGGATGAACCAAACAGACTCCAGGAAAGAGGAGTGTATTTGGACCGGCAGTCAGGCATTCTTCCAACAGGAGTTCTTAAGCAGTTACTTAGTGTAGCACTATCAAGGCAGGCTTCTTAACTGAGCATGGTAATCTCAGGAGGCTGAGGCAAGAGAGCCTCCATGAGTTCAAGGCCACCCTGAGCTACATAGTGAGACCCTACTTCAACACCCCCCCTCCCGGAAAAGGATTGTTAAGTTCAAGCCCACCTGGGCAACTTAGTAGCTTAGCAAGTCCCTGTCTCAGCAAACAAAAAATAAGTAACAGGGCAGAGGACAGAGCTCAGTTCGGAGAGCCTGGGTTCAATTACAAATACTGCAAAAGAAAAGCCTTTTTGCTCTCGTCGAGCTTAAATTATAACAAAGGAGACAAGCAATATGCAAATAATTGCAGTGTGGAGCACTAGGCAGCTGTGCAGCAAGGCGGTCGGAAAGGAGCAGGGGCCTGCCGAGGTCTGGGAAGGTGCTGCCGTCCAGGAGAAGCACTGCAAAGTGGAGGCAGGGGAAGGCAGGCCAGGCTGGGAGGGCGGGCAAGGAACTCGGAGGGAGGAGGAGGCCCAGGAGGGCGGGGCTGGCCGTGCAGGGCCACATTAATGTTTTAAAGAGGAGAAAACCAAGCAAAATAAAACAGTAAAGCCAATTAAAACAAACCAGTAAAAGAGACATAGGACTTCAAAACAATAGGAAATCAACAATGGCTACCATAATGCCTCTTGTTCTCTTCAAAATAGCTACAGACACCTACTTCAGGCATAGTAAAAATCAAGCAAAACAGCTCAGAATAGAAGCAATAAAAACAACACAATGAATGTAATAAAGCACTTCAAAGCAAGATAAGAGTACATCCATACTGGCTACATAATATATCTTGTTATTTTGAAATAGCTGTCCATGCCACTGGATATAATAAAAACAAACCAAATAAAACAATGAAAATGATACAGGACTTCAAAACAAGATAACAGGGAATTAACAATGGCTACACCTTCAGAAAGAGATCCCCCATAGATGCTATGTTGCATATTGTTATCCTTTGGTTAGATGGTCAGACTACTGGCTTTAGACCTGTAAAGTCAGTGAAACACTAAACACTATAAGCATTAAATTGTATTGTACCTTGTTAGGCATCATCGAAACCTGTGTTTCTCCAGATCAGCCAGTGGCTTATGGGTTGGGGTGGGGTGGAAACATTGGCTCTTGTTTCCTAGCCTGTGAGCTGGAAGAGGCTGACATCTGTCTCTCCCCTCAGCGGCCTCCACATGGTTCCACTGATTCTCAGGGAGGGCTCGCTTCTTGTTGACTTCTCCTCCCTTGCGGTCTGCTGCGTTTTGTGTTTATGTGTAGTTTGCTTGTTTGAGACAGGATCTCAGTATGTAGTACAGGTTGACCTTGAACTCACTAGGTAACCCAGGTTGGCCTCAAAGTCACGGCAATCTTCTGTTTCAGCCTCCAGAGTGCTAGGGTTATAGCCGTGTGCTACCACGCCTATCTCCAGTGAATTTAAATTTTAGAAAGAACTCTGGAAAGTGTGAGAGAATAATAGGGAACAGTGTGGGAGGGAAATATCATCTAGCTGCCTAGCTTTGAATCCCCAACTCTGTGGCTTAAAAGCTGGTTGCACTGAGGATGCTTAACCATTCTTTTTTTCAGTTCTTCCAGATGAGGAAAATAAGAGTACAGCACCTGTCTAAACTGGGCACCGTAGCACATGCCTGTAATCCCTGCACTGGGGAGGCTGAGACCCTGTCTCAAAAGAGAGAGACCCTATCTCTAAATAAAAATCAGAACGGGCTGGAGGTGTAGTTCATTGGCAGAGCGCCTCTGGCTTTAATTCCTAGTACTGCAAATGACCACCTCCCACCTCATACAATCATAGAAGGGACCATGGCAAGCAGTGTAGCAAGATAACAACACGCAGTGCCGAGAGCTCGGTGACGGAGTGAGCCGCACAGGGGCCGGGAAGGCTCACCTTCAGTTCTTAGCGCAACGCCTGGAACTCACTAGCCAGTCATAGAAATGTTTAAAAATTTGTACAAATTTGTAAAAAAAAAATTTTTTTTGGCCCCACTGGGCTTTGAACCCAGATCTTCTAGCGTGCTGGGCAAGTATTCTACTGATGAGCTAGATCCCCAGCCCTAAGTGTATACAGGTTTACTCTTTATTGTCATTTACTCACAAAAGTGAAGCATGCTTGAAGGACGTGAAGTGACAAGTGTGAAAGAGCCCTTCCTCTTTGATCTCACTGTTTTCAAAAGCTATGCTTCTCTGGGTGTGATGATGCACGTGTATAAGCCCAGCACTCAGAAGGCTGAGACAGGAGGATCACTGCAAGTTCAAGGCCAGCCTGAACTACAAAGTGAGACTCTGACTTGAAACACCCCCACCATAAAAAAAACCACTTAGTTTGGTGAGTAGTCTTCCAAATGTCATTCCTTAGTGGATGCATGTACAAACATATATGTTAGTGTGATCATGATGTTATAGTTTGAGATGATTAAACTCTGGAAATACAGCAGCAAATGTAAATGCTCTTCTGATGAGGATAGCGGTAACTTGTGTGGCCGTCCAGGTCTGGGGTGTATTTAAAAAGTCACTCCTTTGAGAGCAGCATCTTGAGTTTAGATTGACCATAAAGGAACCCAGACCCAAGGCTGGGGGTGGGGGTAGAGGAGACTATTGAGTTCTTGGGTGTGCAGGGCCTGAGGCTGCTGCAGCTCCAGACATGAACACTGGGGTGGCCTGGCCCAGGGTGGGATCCCATCTTGGGACCAGAAAAGGTTTGAACCGGTTTCATACAGATTCAAATGCCTTATATTCTGTGTGTTTCCTTATTGTTAATTTTACTGAGATTATCCTACTCTGTCCTTTCTGAAAGGAATTTTATAGTTCTTTGATGTTACCATAGTGCTACATAACGTGTCTGAAATAATTGAGGGGTGAAGTCTAAGGAGGAGTTCTTTACCAGGAGCTGCGTCCCCAGCCTTTTCTTTTTTGAAAAGAAATCTTACCAAACTGGCTCAGCGCCTTTGAATTTTTGATCTCCCTGCCTCAGCCTTCTGAGTAACTGAGGTTATTGGGATGTGCACTGCATCTGGCTTGAGATAATTTTTTTTTAAATAGTGATTACTGGAATTCATTTAAGCTGTAAGGGAAGGACGTAAGAAGAGGTCAGTTTGTAATGTGTTTCTTCTTCCTGGATAGATGGCCTCCCCAGAACAGAGGATCTCTACGTGGAGTCCCCCGTCTACTTTTTCTTTGGACTCAAGGCACAAAGACTTGATGGTGGAATTCTCTGAAGAGTCGCTGAGAGCGAGAACGTTACCTGGTAACCGCTTTCTGGGATTGGGATGGTGGTGACAGTGCCACTCACATCTGTCTGTCCAGACAGTATGCCTGTTTTATTTGAGAGATAAACTGCACCAAGATCATCTGACAACCAGATTCTGGGTCCCCTCTCATAAAGGCGCCCCATGCCTTGTGTCCTTCTGACATTTGCAGATTAGCTGTTCAAGGTCTGAGATGTCCTACTAGCTCCCAGCTCTATCTTCCTTCTCCTAACTTCTTCTTTGCATTCCTCTGAAAGTGTCTTGTATCAGTGCTGCTCCCAGCTGCCACCCCTGAGCCAGACCCTGAGCCCTATGGCATCTTCTTGTCCCAAGGCCTGGCTTTTTGCCAACATCTCTGCCATGCCCACCAGGGCCCTGCGCCTGTGCTGAGGTCATGACTGCACTTGGGCCTAGGTGTTCTCAGACGGTGCCTGGGGATCTTGACTGACCAAGCTTCCACTGGGAGGAACTGGATGTCGAGGCCGGCTCTGCCCGCTGAGGAGCTCAGAGGGGCGGCCTGCGTGGAGGATGTGGTCGTAGTGCTCATTCTGTAGGATTCTGACTTGTCTGTTCTCTTTTCTTATAATCACATCAATGTTCTTCCCTTCGATTCTGAAGTTACATTGGGTGGGGGCTGAGGTTGTAGGTAGCGTGTTGTGGCTGTGGGTGGGTAATATAAAAATGAAGAGAATGTTAATGGAAATAGGTCAGTTGGTTAGAGGTGATGTAAATGAATGTAAGGAGTTGGTAGGGGAGGAGGAGGTGCCCGAGAATCAGTGAAACGGCCAGGCCATAGCGTAACAGGGATTTTCACAGCTGTGCTGTGAATCTTTCATCTCTTTACTGGAGCTTTAACTCTTCTGTCTTATTGCTTGATCAATTTATTAGAATTACAGTGTAGCAATTTATAGAAAATATTTATTGGCTCACTTACCTACCATTCTTTTACTTTTTAAAAGGTTTCCCATGTACCCCAAAAAATAGAAATGTTGTCAGAAAGGTAGATTATTATAGAATAGGAATCTGGAGCTTTTTTGGATAAAAATTTTAAGCTTATGTAGTTCCCTTGTAGTTCAGTTATTTATTCAACAAGATATTTGTTGCTTCTTACATTTAAAGGGTCTCTATGCCAAAGTTGCAAATAGAAAATGAATTAGAAAACTCATTAGACAGTATCTTCCATGAACTTATCAGAAGTATACTCTTCCTACATGTATAAAGAGCAAAAAAAGCTAAAATCTTTGTGCTAAGGATAGCAGAATAGTTCATGAGTGTGATAAATATGTAAAGGAAATTACAGTCACATGGTCATCATCAGACCATGAATTTCAGTTTCAGGAGAAGAAATAGAAAATTGCTGTCAAGAACTAGATCTGGAGCCAGGCGTGGTGGCTCATGCCTGTAATCCCAGCACTCAGGAAGCTGAGGCAGGAGGATTATTGCTAGTTCGAGACCAGCCTGGGCTACAAAGTGAGCTCAAGGCCTGCCAAAAGTGTATAGAGAGACCCTGTCTCAAAAAGACCAAAAAAAGAAGAACTAGATCTGGGTCCTTGGCCTGCCTCTGCCTCTCGCAAGAGATGTAACTTTTGTGTTAGTGTCATTTCACCTCTAAATGAGAGTGCATCTAAATGCATCTTTGCTTGGCCTGAAAATGCTTTGAAATCTAAGGTGCTGTGTAAATATAATGTAGCAATTTGGTTAAAAAAAAAAATCTCTTGGCTAAAATAGTAAAAGAAAAAAGATTTCAAGTTTATCAGAATTTTAAAATTTTGAAAATCTATAAACAAGCCTTGAAATCCTTATTTATTTTGTTTTTCTGAGACAGGGTCTATGTAGTCCAAGCTGGCCTTCAACTCACTGTGTGGCTCATGCTGGCCTCAAACTCCTGGCAGTCCTTCTGCCTCAGCCTCCTGAGTGCTGGGATTGCAGGCTTATACCACCACACCAGACAGAAATTCTTGTTTTTGAGATTTAAAACTATTAATATTTTAAAAGGAAAGAAAATGCAGTATTTGGTTTTGCTGTTGTGTGGAGCCCCATTGTTTTCTAGAGCAGGGCCATGACTGGTGGTTCATTTTTATTTAGTCTGAATTCTGCTTTCTTTCAGGAATGCAAAGATTTAGTTCTTTGGAGAACTTGCATTGGCCACCACTGGGGAGTAGAGCGCAGGCCCCGCTCACCACCTCGCCTATAGCCGAGCCAATGCAGGACCATGCTCCCTCCTGGGTCAGGATCAGCCAGGCACCTCAGGAGTCCCCCTTCCCCCCTGTGGATGGAGACCCCAGGGCTCCTCCTCCGCGAGCCACCCCCTTCCCAGCAGAGTCCGCGGGCCTCTCCCTGCTATTCCCCCCGAGCAAGTGGCTGAAGTACCAGAGCCCGGCTCCGCGAACCCTGCCCACTGGGGATCAGGGAGCCCTGGAGGTGACCGCGGATGGGACCAGGCTCCAGGGCGCATCAGACTCCACGTGCGTGCAGATGCTCAGGGCTGCGTTGCATAGGGGCCCAAGGATCACACCGAGGATACAGGAGGCGCGAGGAGCAGCGGGGAGCCCCGGCCACGGGAGGCAGGGCTGCCAGGTAAGTGCCCTTTCCAGCTTCCGTGGAGGAACTTGCACACTTGAAGAGGAGCAAGGGGTTTGAAGCCGAACTCTAGCTACAGGCCCGCAGGTGCCCATGCCGTGCCAACTGTGCATGTGCACTGAATGAGATTAGCGCTCCGCCATTCCGGTGCAAACTGAGTGCTGCCGTCCTCGGTGCCCGGCGCTGCGAGTGCTGCTTTGCACGCTTGGCTGGAAGTCAGTTTTGTTGGTGGGATCATTGTTAGGATCACTGACAGAGACAGATGTCTGGAAGCAACACTCGGTCACAAACGGTGATTTCCGAGTCCTGCCGTGACCTAAGCTCTCCTGATGTAGGAGATGAGCAGCTCCGAGCTGTGCTTCCCGAGTGGGCAGAGGCTGGAATCGGCTCCTCTGCCGCGGCGGCAGACCTGTGTGCCCGCGGTGTTCCGGTCCCCTGCGCACTACCGGCAGACCTTCACAGCGTGTATCACAGGTACCACTGGGCCAATTGATCATTGCTGCAATGTAACGCCGTGGGACCACGCGGAAAGGGAATATATTGCATGTTTTTATACTACAGTCTCCACTTGAGGTTGATTTTCCAAGTTTGTTCTAGTTTTCTATGCTGACGATTCTAATTTAAGGTGCTGGGCTCCGACTTGCAGTCAGCCTGCTTAGCTCTGAGTGCTGGGATTACAGACCAGTACCAGTGTGTGTGGCTTTGTTTTCATTTTTTGTTTAAAATGGAAGCATTCCAAATGACGTTGTTAAATGGAGGGGAAAATTATAAGTATGATATATAACTAGATCTAAATATTTTGAGATACAAGGACAAAACTCACCTTTTAAAAAAGGGTGTTCGCGGAGGTTCTAGAAGACTGTTAAAAGACTGTTCTCAAACATGGCCAGTCAGAGCACACATACGATCAGGTGGGTTGTTTCACATTTCACTGCAGCTCCCCCTCTCTCTTGCAGAACATCTGAATATACTGCTGTTCGGCTTGGCCCAGCGGCTGCGCAGAGCCCTTTCGAAGGTTGACTTTGCGTTTTACATGTCAGTTAAAGAGGAAAAAGTGAAGAACATGGAAGGCAGCTTGCCTTGCTGTCACCACAGGGAGCCTGCGACCCTGGTCATGGCTAGGAAAGAGGGGCCAAATAAGGTACTGTGGCCTTCCCATCCTCCCGGGGCTCCTATGGACGTGGCCAGTGTGCCACTGCTTCATGGTGGGCTGGGCAGGGAGGCTGGGCCAGCAGCTTTTCATGAGGCTCTAGGCCACAGAAACATGAGTACAGACCAGCCTTGGGTTGTTTCCAGGTGTAGCTCCTGGCCTAGCACTCATGGGCCCTGCAGGGCTCAAAACCCTGGGATCACAATAAAACAAAAATTATTATTATTTTTTAAATTTTATTTAAGGAGAAAAAGAAAAAAAAAAAACAGAAAAAAGGTACAAGTTATACAGAATTTCAAAAAAAAATAAACAGTGGGAAATCACTAGTTAATAGATTACATATTGTCATATTAGAAATAGTTGTTCAAGTTACAAAATTAAAGCATATAAAGTGGACATTCAAACACTGAGACTGCAAACAGTTCTGTTCAGTGATCCAACAAAACTCAGTAATCTGGTTATCTATCTTATGCACTTAAATATACATGCAGTTGTATCCTTCAGAGCACTTTCTTTTCCTCTCTTTTGTACAATGACAATTACACATTTTGGGTTTTATTACTCCCACAGTTCTTATTACTTGTTTTGAAGAGAATAAAGCCAAATGTGACATAATAAAACAGAGTCAGTCAAATCAAAAGGATGGACATAATACATAATGTAAAAACAAAATACAAGGTGATCAACAGTGGTTACCATAATGCCTCTTTGCTACCTTAAAAAGAATTGCCTATATCATCAGGTATAATAAAATTGAACAAAACAGTAAAGAACAAAACCAATAAAACCAAAACATTGGAGACGTTACAGGACTTCAAAAAGAAGATAATAGTCAAACCAGAATGGGCGTCAAAATGAATCTTATTGTCTTCATAGTTGTTGCTTATACTCTCAAACTTGGTACTATCAAGCAAAACAGAATAGAGGAAAATCAGTCAAAACAAGATGGTGAGAGCAATACAGGGTTTCAAATCAAGTTAATAGGAAATCAAAGTGGGTTACTATAATATATCCTGTTATTTTTTTCCCTTAATTAAAAAGATAAAAATAAAAAAGTAAATAATAAAAAAAAGAGATGAGAAAAAAAGAGGACATAACAACAAAATAGCACAGGTCAAAACATAACAATTTAAGCAAAATAGTGTTTCACCACAAGATATCCTGACATAAAAGTAGTTATCCTGACATAAAGTAGTATTCTGACATAAAACTAGTGTCTCTTTCCTTGAAACCTTTGAGTATAACTTCATATATTGTAGCATCAAACATATCAAGACAATGTAAAACCATTCAAGAGAATGACAGTATTGCAGGGTATTTAGAATCAACTAACAGAAAATGAACAATGGTTTCTGTATAATCTCCTTGTCTATAAAAGTTTTTGTTTATATTATCACATATAAAACCCAATAAGATACAACATGTTAAGACCGATGGAGACAGGACAAAAGCTTGATGGGACTTCAAAACAAGATAATATTAAATCAGCACTAGCTATTATGATGTCTTGTTTTCTCCAAAATAGCTGTTCCTACCATACAATCTTCTCTGCCTCATTTCTGGTGAGCTCTTTTTCTGTCATTTGTTGTCAGTTTGTCTTCTTCATTTCTCTTTCTGCTCCATTCATTGTGGCCTCTCTGCCACTGTTTCTGGAATCCTGGTACTTTTCTCTTTTAGAATGTCCTGCAGTATTCTCTGTAGAGTTGAATTGGTGGTTGCAAATTCCCCTAGTTCCTCTTTATCCTGGGAGCACCTTGTTTTTCCATCAATTTCTAGGGACAGTTGTGCAGGATATATCAATCTTGGCTGGAGGTTATTAACTTTCAAAGCTTGAATTATTTCCCCCCACGCTCTTTGTGATTTGATGATTTGTGCTGAGAAGTCTGCTGTAATTCTGATGGGTGTTCCCTTGTAAGTGATCTGTTTCTTGTCTCTGACGGCTTTTGATATTCTGATCTTATATTGGATTTCTGGAATTTTGATTATTATATGCCTGGGTGTAGTTCTGTTTGGGTTGTAGATGGCTGGGATCCTGTATGCCTCATACATCTGAGTATCTTTACCTTTTGCTAAATTAGGGAAATTCTCTTGGATTATTTCTGTAAATAGCCTTTGCAGTTAATTTGTTTATGTCCCTACTTCTTCTTTTACGTTCTTAATTCTTAAGTTATAGACCCTCTTATCATCTTCTAGCCTTTGTATTATTGCTGTTTGTTTCCTTGTTATTTTTAAGAAGTTTTTCGTTTCATGCTCCCACATTACAAATCTGTCCTCCAGTTCAGATAATCTATCCTTAGTTTCTTTCAAGCTGTTATGCCAGCTTTCAATAGAGTTTTTAGTTTCCTGGTAATCTCTTTGAATCTGCTTCACATATTCTATGTTTTCTCTATTTTCTCCATCAAACAATTCTCCCCTTTTTTGCTGTTCTTCCATTCCACCATCTGTGTTTTCTTGGGTGGTGCTTAGCATTTCTCTAACTATTCTACTTATATCTTGCTTTACTTCATTAAATACTTCACTTATGAACTCGTCTATGAGGCTCCGGAGATATCGCTTTATGTCTATTGGTGCTGTGTCTGATATTGCATGTTTTCTGTACTCATTCTCCTTTGCATTTACCGTTCCTGGATCAGTGTTCTCAGTATTGGGGGCCGAGGACCCTTTCTTGTTGCCTCCCCTTCAGTGTACTAGGGAGACACAGACTTGGGCAGCCTCTGCTGGGCCCATCCCTCCAGATCAACCTATTGAAGGCTTCACGGCTAGCGTGCACCGCCAGGTGCTGGGACCTGTTTGGGCTAGCCTACTGTGTCTTAGTCCACGGCGTCACCCAGGCTAAGCGCTCCCCACCAATCCCGCTTGAGAGGGGAATATGTGACTAAAGTCACTGCAGCATCCTATTCCGGCTAGTCTGCACAGTCCCAGAATGTCCTCTGTTGGAGCCTCCTAGTCTATGGAAGGGTCCTCGTTCCTCTCACTCACCACAGGTCAATGCAGGGCTCCCCCCCAATCCCACTCTCAACTCCGTTCGCGATTCCCGCTCCGAGAGCTTTTGCGTCTCTGTCCCTGCCATGCCGATTCAGATGCAGCGGCGGCGGCAGGAAATTCAAGCCGCGGTTTCCAGAGGCATGGGTTCCAGCTTCCACACTGAGATTTTATCTGTTCCGGTTATAGCACCGGAATGGCATTTCCAGTTGGTTTTTCTCAGCTTAGTTCGTTCCTGGGTTGGCAGGGTATATCTCCCCTTGCTTAGGACTCCTCACACCGCACCATTCCTGGATTCTAAGCTGGCTATCTCAGAGAGCTTCCATAGCTGCTGTTATCTATCCACCGTGTTCTCTCAGAAGTCAACAAAAACTTATTCAAATGAAAAGAAAAGAAAAAACATGAAGACAGCTGTGCATGGTGGCACATGCCTGTCACTTAGCATTCAGGAGGCTAAGGCAGGAGGATAGCTGCAAGTTCAAGGACCGCCTCAGCTACAGAATGACTTCAGTGCCAGTCTGGACTACACAGTGAGACCCCAAAACCCCCCTCCAGTACTAAAACAGTTTATTGCATGGTAGTGGACAGAGCAAGGTGCAGAAAAGAGATTGGTAAAGCATGAGGGCTGGGCTGGCGGCGGCATGCCCATGAGGGACAGAGGGAGCTGGAATGAGTCTGGAGAGGGGGCTGAGCTGGGCGAGCACCCCCGCTCCACAAGCCTGAGTGACTGGTGTGGACTAAGGCACCACATGGACAGTCTCTGCAACCCAAGACCCAGAGGTGCAGGCTGCAGCTGTTCTGCATACAGCCTCCCTGTGAGCCAGTGACATCAGTGACACAGGAGCCACACCTTCCTCCTGCCCGCACTTTCCATCCAGAATAACACTGTGCCATTTTCTGCCATGGGACACACATCCCCTTCCTCATGTTGATCTGTACATTTGGCTTCAAATTTGGTTGTCAGCCAGGCATGGTGGTGCACCCCTGTAATCCCAGCACTCAGGCGGCTGAGGCAGAATTATCACAAGATCAAGACCAGCCTGGGCCACAGCCTGTCTCAAAAAACTGGAAACAAAGCAAAACAAAAGTTTCCTTTCCTCATTTGCCACCAAGGTGCTTAGTCTTTCCAAGGGAGCTAAGGCCGAAATGGGGTGAGGCTCTCCCTCATCCAGTGACTGCCGGCAGCCCACATGACCTCCACCCTTATCCTGCACCACGGTGAAGTGGAAGATAGGATCAGTGGCCCTCATTAAAGCTGCTGTGTCAGTGTGAACCTTTTTGTCCTAGATTGTTTGCAGAGGCCCTGGCCAGTGTCAGCATTGTGAGTCTCACCTGCAGTGCACGGGCTGGTGGCGCTGCCCAGCTGAAAGAAGTCAGAAACAAAGGAGAAAGAATCCGAGGTGTCTGATGATGACACAGCTGTGGTCTTTTTGACTAAACCTCATTTTGTAACATGTTCATTAAAAACAACAGAAGGAAGAAGAAGAGAGATAGGAGGGGAGGAAAAAAAGAGGAAGAAGAAAAAAATGAAGAAAAGGAGAGGGAGAAGAAGATAAAGAGGAAGAGGGGAAGAAGATGAAACTGAAGATGACTTAGTTGTCAAATCAAATATTCATGAGAGCCAGACATAAGATCGTCAGTTCGATTTCTAGTACCCAAAAAAAGCATTCATAAGGAATGGCATAGCCAGATAATAACTCCTTCTGCCCAACTTTGTGCTATTTTCTTTCTTTCTTTCTTTTTTTTTTTTTTTTTTTTTGTCTTTTTCTTTTTTATCGGTACCAGGGATCAAACTCATGACCACACACTTGCAAGGCAGGCGCTTATGCCACTGAACTAAATCCCCAGCCCCTTTGTGCTATTTTCAAGATTACTTGATGAGATGGCTGCATGTGCATAATGATGCTGTTGGTCTAAGGTTAGGTTACAGAACAGAAAATGGATTATTAATCGACTTTCATTTTAAAAAGTCAAACTCTATGTCTGTATGCACACTTGCATGCTGTGAG